AAATCTAATATTATGTTAGTCACGTGATTATCTATAAAAATTTTAAAATTGAAACATTTGATGGCTTATTGTGTCCCCAACTGTACTATATACTATAAGGAATTTAGAAACCATTTTTGTGTCAAATCAGGTAAATAGTATTATTTTTTCTTATTTTGAATCTTATTAATAAATTTAATTTAATTATATCAATATTTTCAGTTATTCATAGACCTAGATAATAACAACATCAACAACTTCAACAGCAGCTTCTACAAATTTAAGAGCAGAAGCAGTAGTTACAATAATAATTCCAACAGCAGTAACAACTGCTATAACAATGTCAACAGTAATAGTTGATAAAAATAACTGAATCACTTTATTTTTGGGTGATTCTAATAATGAAGGAAAAGAAAAAAAGAAAGTAGACGCAAGCCAATCAAGTTGGGAAACTAATCATGATAATGAGTGAAGGTGGATTTATTGAGTTGAAAAATATTTACTATATTTAAACTTATATAATTTTAATTCTTTTATGCTTTACTTTATAGTTATTAAATTACCTTTAGATTTATTGGAAGGGGGTTTTATATAATAATTACTTTTTGCAATTTGTAAAATTTTAGGATAGAGTCAATTGCATTTATTTTTTTTTTTTGCTTATTAAATAAATTAATTCAAAAACATTTTATCTTTTAAGCGTATAAATTATGAAATTATTTGTTTTATACAATTAATATTAAGATTATATGTAAATTAATTTATTTATGATTGATAAAATATCCGGATATTGATCAATTTACTTGATTTGAAAATTGATTGATACCTGGGTCTTAACTTAAGAGCCATTGTTTTGCATCTAATAAAATACCCAGGTATATTATCATGGATACTATCAAAAGGGGGTTTCTTAGGCAGTGCTCTACGGTAATATTTATATTTATTAATAAATATAAATTTATATATAATTTTTTTATTATATCTTATATAAAAAAATTTATATAATTCTAATGTAAAGTTATTTAAAATAAAAATAAAAACTTTCTTTTCTATCTAATATTTATTATATTATAGCTAATTTCATAATTCATGAACCAATAATAAATTGTGATTGAATGCAACTAAAAATATTTTATAATAAATTACTATAAAATATTGTAATTGAATATGACTGAAAATATTAATGATTCATGAATTATGAAATTAGCTGTAATACCAAGTTTTTTAAGTTCTTTTATTACAAAAAATTAAATGCAAATTTTTTATATATATTTTATTAAATGTTATATATTTTATACTAATATTATTTAAATAAAAAATATTCTGCTTATTTATAATTATTTATAATTAATAAAAGTTAATAAATTGCAGATTATGATAAAAAAAAAATATTTTTTTATGTTTAATTTATCAGTTAAACATAAAATAAATATATTATTTCTTAGATTGAATTTTTTCTGCATAATAAATACTTAATAGAATAAATATATTTTAATATTATATAACTTATTTTTGATATTATTAATATATCAGTTATTATAATTAAATTTATTAAAAATTATGATCTTGATTTAAAAATGGATTTGATAATTTTGTTAATATATATCAAAAATACTTATATTTTAATTAATAAAGTAAAAAATAATTAACATATTAGATTTCTTATAAAAAATTATTGATATAAAAGATTTTTTCTTAAGAGGTAATTAGTAAAAAAAAAAAAAAAAAAAAAAAAAAAAAGGAATTTTAAATTTTAATCAAAGTTTATTTTATTAGACCATTTGGTTAATCATATGTTTTAAAAATTAGCTTAAAAACTAAAATTAATAAAAATTTTGGATTTCTTCCCTTTTTACTGATAAACTCTCATATGCAAAATATTGATTAACAAGCAATGAGTAATTGAATAATTTTAAAAAATATATAAAATTTAAATAATTATTTATTTTGATTATATTACCTAATAAAAATTATTTTATTAGTATATTCTACTTATTATTCTTTATTAATTATTAATAAATATTGAACTAATAATTTAATAAATCAGATTATATTTATATAAATAAAAAGTATCATATAATAATATAAAATAATAAATATTATATTTAATATTTATATATTTTTTAATAATAAATAAATTAAATTATAAATATTAAATTTTACTTTAGTTATTTACTACTTTATTAAAAAAAAAAAAAAATATAGATTTCTTTCGTTATTTTATAGAGTTAGAAATACGAATAATGAATTATAACTAATTATAGTTAATCAAAAGCTGATCGTTTAACTGATTGATTATAACATTATTTGAACTACTACAGTACTTTGAAGAATAAAATTAAATGTCGTTTTTTTTTTTTTTTTTGAAAAATTGTTGCAATATCGATATTCTTTAAAAATGTAGGAAATAACGCGTTATTATTATTTAAATTTTCTTTTTTCTTCTTTTCAATTTTTTTTTGATAAGGTATTTTTAAACTTTATACGTAATGTATTCTTTTTCTTTTATATTTGATTAAGGGGATTATAAGTATGGTAATAATAATTTTTTTTTTTTTTTTTTTTAATAAAATCGTTCGAATGTTAGAATCCAAAGTGAAGAGATATTAAAAGATCATGTGTTCAAAAAAGAGCATACGAAATTAATAACCAATCACATTTATGTATTAATTATTTTAAAATTACTAGTGTATATTTGATAAAAATACATATGCTTAAAAAATTTTTTTAATGATCTTTTTAAGCCACCAAAAATAGTGTTTAACTTGTAAAACGAATTACAAAAAAAAAAATTAATAAAACTTTTCTCTATCTATCTTTTTTTTAATACCTTTCAAACTATTATTTGCGCAATACTTTAGTAATTTAACTTTTAACAATATTAAAAATGGGTGAGTTTTCTGCAATTTAATTTCTCATAAGTCGAGTTTGTTTTAGATTTTTAATTTTAACGGATTTAACCTTCACGCGGGGGATCTATAGGTTCGAAAAAGAAAGGTACTAAAATGTCACTGACGGATTTTTTGGCAGATCAGTGTATGTATAGCGTAGAATTTTGTTATTTTTGTTAATTTGTAATTAGATTAAACTATTGTAAATATGAACAAACCATTCTTTTGACAAAATAGCAACCGGCTCTTGGGCTGATGAAATGGAAGATTTACCTTCTGCGCGTGAGTTTCTCAAATAATGCGTGTTGATATATTTTACGATTTCGCATACATCTAAACAGTTAGCACTCGCTTTATCTAGCTGCCGCGGCGTTCTCAGGTAATGTTAAACCTTACTTGTTATACTTTTATCATTTTTAATTTCAGTTATTACATAAAAATAAAGCAAAATAGCAGAAATTTTTAAAGTCGAAATGGCATATTATAGATCACGAGAAAGGTGGTTTCGGAGATAGGAGATCAGGCTTTTCAGAAAGAAGAACTTATTCAAGAGGTATTTTCATTCTTTGAAAAAGAATCAAGCTTTAAAATCGAAAATAAATAAAAATTATATTTATATTATTGCAGATTCACGTTATGAATCTCGTGATTCGCCACGCGATTCTAAGTTTCCATCTCGAACTCCTCAACCACTTCCTACATCCCCACCTTATACAGTCCATCTTGGTAATTTACCTTATGACTTATCTTTAACTGAAGAAGATGTAAAAAAATTTTTTTGTGAATCAAAGGTAAGCATTAAATTTATACGAAAGTTATATATGAATTGGAGAAATAAATAACTTAGATATTTTATCAATCAGATCAACACTGTTAGGATTCTACGTGACAAAGATGATAAACCGAAAGGTTTTGGATATGTTGAATTTGAAGATCTAGAATCATTGACCAAAGCACTGCAATTGAGTGGAGAGGTATAGGATGTGTTTTTAATTTTGCTGTTTTCTATAAAATCTGTTTAACTTCCATCCATTGATTTTTTTCTTTGAAAAAAAAAAAGGAAAATACTAAGCACTTTAATTTTTTTTTTTTACAATCTCTTATTGATATTTGTTATAGAATTTGGGGAAAAGACCAGTTAGGATTAGTGTAGCTGAACGTAAGTTATATTTTTTTTAAAAAATTTTTTTTAAGGAATTAGGAATAAAATGATGTTTATTTTATTTTATAATTAGCACGAGAACGCGAAGATCGGACCGCTGGTGAATGGCGGCGGATAATGCCAAGGGAGTCACCGGCCTCTTCACCAAGAAGTGATCGTTTTGGTAGCAGTGATAAATTCGGTAGCAGGGATGACAAATGGGGTGACCGTGGTGGTGGTTTTCGTGATCGGGGTGAACGATCTGATCGCGGTGAACGTGATAGAGGTGATAGGGCTGAGCGCAGTGTTGAACGAAATGACCGTGGAGGAATTGAACGTAAAGTAGATACAGAGTGGAGAGGCGGAGCTTTCAGTAATAAACCAGGTGGTTTTCGTGAGCGTCGATCTGAAGAAAGATTTAATTCAGTGCGAAAACATGACATACGTCCGTTACCTGAGTCGAAAGCCGAACATACTAGTACTGTGGCTACTGATATTCCGACATCTCCTCCACCAATGCGCAAAAAGCTTGAGCTAAAGCCACGAAGTTCGAGTACTGTTGTTTCAAATGAAGCCGTTTCTCCACCGAAAACATCCAAGCCAAATCCATTTGGCGATGCTAAACCAATAGATTCGGATGAAGCTCTTCGAAGAGTAGAGGAGCGAAGAAAACAAAAAGAAAAGGAACTGAAGGAAAAAGAAGAGATGGAAAAAGCTGAGTCTAAAAATGGTAATGATAATTTAACGACAGAAAATGGTGATGCTTAAAATTAAAGTAAGAGTTATTAAGGTAAAAAAACAAAAAGTATATATATATATTACATCACAATATACGATTACCAAAAAAAACATATAATATTTAACCAACCTGAAACATAATACATTTTGTATTTTGTATTTCTTTTTTTTTTCTTCTTCTTCTTTGATATATATGTAATTCATTTTAACGATATGAGCCAATTTTCTTGTAGTAATAGAGCTAGTAATTTCAAAAACATCATTAGGAAAAATATACCACCCAAATTCCTTAATTATGGCAATAAAGAAAAATTATTATTATTCCGATTGGATTATTGTAAATTTGAACATTATAGAAAATTAATTATTTAAGTTAATGGATTCATAATTTATTTAGGTTATATATTATTTTTATTAGTTTTATTTAATAATTAAATTTTTTTTTTTTTTTAAAAAGAAAAACAGTTTTATTTAAAATTAAGTTTAGCAATAAAAAAGATTATAATAACTAAATTGTATATAAAATGCATAAATATACATATTAAATATAATTGACGATCCGAATGATCCGAATATCTTTTTTCAATACTCCGAAATTTATATATGATCCAAACACAGCATCCTATGAGTGCAAAATCATTATTTACCAATTTTAAACTTCGAAAGAACTGACTTTCTCAACCAAATCGTCACCTCAACAATATATGCCAACAAATTATTCGGGTCAATTTCAATTACGTCCTCACTCGTCTATAAATATATAATGACGTTGTTCTGGAGAAGTACTGATACCAGTACAAAACACAGCAAGCATCTTTTTGTACTGTCAATAGTTTTATTTTCTTTACAACCTTTAGTATTTGCTGAAAAAGATTCTGAATTGCGGGTTAAGACTGCAAGCTCAAACGCAGTTGCTTCCTTTGTGATTTTTGGTTCTTTATTTGCACTTGGCGTAATTATCATTTGCGCATGTATTAATAGACGATTGAAAGTTGATAAAAACAGGATTCCTGATGTAAATGATCCGGAAATTGCTCGGGCGGAAGCAAGTTTAGTTGAGACTTTAAACGAAGCGGCTCGACAAAATTATGAGCGTGCGCGATGTGAGTTATAATAGTAAAGCTGTTTAAGATAACCATATTTTTTATATTATATTTTTATTATTATTTAAAACTTATTTAAATTAAAATTTTCATATAGTATTTCAAGAAGCATATCCACCTGATAGTATTCCTACAGATATCACACTTTCCCAATTTCTTTCAATTCAGGAGAAAGGTGTGTCAGCATGGGAATTTGAACCGGACCTTCAGCATTCTAGCTGTTTTGTTGAATGTCGTACTGAAATCGCATTTTATGATGGTGAATGTTGCGTTCAGACAAACCTTCCGTTACCAAAACAACAAGAAGTTTATTATTGGGAAGCTAAAATGTACGACAAACCACAGAATACAACAGTTACTGTGGGTTTAGCAACTAAACCTTATCCTTTATTTCGCTTACCAGGTAAGAAAGAAATTTAATCAAATAGATATTTTTATTCTCGCAATTTTTTTTTTTTTTTTTTTATCAATTCCACTGTAGAAACCATTCGATTTAAATGTTTGTAATTAATCATCTTTTATTTTATTCTTTTTATTTTTAAGGGTGGAACCGTCAATCAGTTGCTTATTTTTCGGACAGTGGTTTTAAATATTATAATTCACCATTTAATGGTAAAACGTATGGTCCACAATTTCAACAAGGTGACGTTGTTGGTGTTGGTTATCGACCAAGAACTGGTACTGTTTTCTTTACACGTAATGGGAAAAAGTTAGACGATGCATTTACGGGAATGAAGATGAATCTTTTTCCCACAGTTGGAGCAAATGGACCTTGTAGTGTTCATGTTAATTTCGGTCAACTAGGATTCGTTTTTATTGAGGCAAATGTAAAAAAATGGGGACTTGCACCGACAATGGGAACATTAGCCCCTCCTCCAGCATACGGGTCAGAACGAGGATCGATTTTATTGGAATCTAGTTCTAGAGGACGTCCTTCAGAGGATGTTGCTCGTTTACAATATAGTAATGTGAATAGTGGAATTATGACGGGTGTTCCTCCTGAAGCAGGTTTGGATATTTCTTTGTCGGACATCACAGTTCCACCACCTTCTTATTCTTCAGTGGATCGATATTATGAGCGTCAATCTTTTATGTCTGAAAGTTCTGAAACGTATCTATTAGCTGGGGAACAAAGCGATTCTAGAAGAAATAGTTATGAAAGTACTTCTAGAGATCAACAAAGACGCGGCTAATTAAATTAGTCTATTTATTAAATTGTAAAATTACGAATCATCGATTGGAGATGATATTTATTTTGATATATGCCAAAAAACAAAATTGTATTAGATTTTTATTAGTATTTTTTTTTTTTTTTCACCCTTTTCCTTTTCCTTTTTTTTTTGTTTGATGTTACGAACGATTTATTTAAGCGGGTTAAAAGATTCAAATTCGACTTTGATATCCACACTTCAATTTTTGATCATTCACAATTCTCGGGTGGCTTTGTGTTTTGAGAAAGAATTACCCATTATTCATTTGTATACTGTAACTGTATATATATATAAAAAAAAAAAATTTTCATTCATTCTTTATCAGTTTGGATCATAAGTATTGGATTTATATTTAGGTTGTTTCGATAAAAGAAAAAGAAAAGAAAGAAAAAAAAAATACGATATTCAATGATAAATAGAACTATTTAGATTAAGATTGAACTTATAAAGTATACAAGATGGAATAAAGGTAAGTATCTGTTTACGAGATTAGAAATAACTGATAAATAATTAAAAAAAAAAAAAAGAAAAAGAAAAAGTGGTAATCAGAATATTTCTCTGTGTACAATATATATATATTTTTTTTTGTAAGAAAATTCTTTTAATGTAAAATTTTCCTGTACAATGGAGAATGTTATTATTTTATCAATTTAACAATTAGCATTTATTTAATCAGCATTAACGTACGTATTATTGTAAAATAAATATACTTTCAAGGAATCAATGTCAAGTTTATTATGTTTGGTTATTGCTTCGTTTCATCAAAGATTGGTTGAAATTATGATTTAAATCAATGATATCTCAAATTTATCAAGTGAATAATAATTGGCATAAGGTAAATTATTTAAGAATTAATGTTAATAGTATGGTCTGCAAAGCTCTATAGCTTTTGCCTCACATTTATTAACAAGGTCAGAATTATTTTTTATCCATTGTTCCAGATTTCCTTTGGCTTGTCTGGTGTATTCTTCACGCGATGAAATTTTGATTTCGGTATTATCACATGTTGAAAGAATATATATTCCGTATTTCGGATCATATGCGCGATATTGCAAGTTTAATAAAATAAGAACGTTCTTTGGCTGATTTAATTAATCCAACATTAGAGAATACAATTAAATGTTTAAAAAGCAACCAATTTAAATTAATAAATAATACCTTCAGTAGTATATCTTCCATATAAGTAGAAATATTTTTTATTTCAATTTGTGCTAAACGTCCACTGTTGTCGGTGACTAACAGGGATTGGATTTTTACTGATTTTCCAAATCTTTGTCCGATAGAGAGATCTCCAACAACTGATAATTTTATTTAAGGTTAGAAAAAAAATAAAATGATAATCATATATAATATATGTATGGTACTTACCTAGAATATATACTACTACATCCACTTCAATGTTCAAGTCCTGTCTTTGAAGTTCATCTAAATGGGATATAGTTCTCGATGAATAAAAAGACAATGCATTATTATTTGTATTCATAAATTCTTCTTTCCAGATGGTTGAACCTTTCATTGACGATAAACGAATAGGAGATAAAGAGGTCATTTGGTAATTTTGGTTGTTAGCCGATGTTAAAGAGTAAACCTTATATCTTCGCCCTTCTTTTATCGTATTGAACAATAATTCATCTGGCTGCCAAACATTGATAATACCCTCACGTCTATTAATTGTCGAAGTATTATAATCACAGACACGAACTTTGAAATATGGAATAACTTTACGAGTATAATTTAATTTCTAAATTTGAATAAAGCTGAGTGAGAAATAGTGGCGCTAATACTGTATATTAATTAATATTATTATAGGATAAGATGTTCCTGATTATTTAACTCTAGGTACACTACCTCTAAATTATCATAGACCCATTCATTCATATGACTTGCTTTTTCTTGTTCCTTTTTTTGTATATAATTTTGAAGCCATTCGCTCTGTTCCGAAGATAAGTCTTGCCAGAATTTGGAAAGTTCAAGACAGTCTTGCATTATCTCATAAAGCTGCTCTCCAGAGGTAATCTTAGACGTATCTATCTAGGATAGAACTAAATCGTTCAATAAACATTTCTTGCAAAGGTAAATGAAACCAAAACAAAATAGATTTAAATAAAACACAACCTTGTATCGTTTGCTTTTTGGAGATACCCTTTGACTTGTTATGAGTATTTGGTTTATGCAATATTTCATACTCGTTGATTAATGATTGGATTTTGATATTTAACCTAACCTAAATAAAAAAACTAATTAAAATAAACTCTGTAAAGGTGTCAATCTAAACATACTTACATCATGTTTACTTTTTGCATATTCTTCCTCTTGTTCATTGCGATTAATTATTGTACCATCTATCATTGTCTCACGAAAAGTTATTGGGTATTTCCGCAAAACTAAAATATCTATGGCAAAAATATACCCTCCGTCAGGACAAAGACTACGCAATGTGGCATAAGGACAGACCCGATTAAATCCCAATTTTGCATCCCAATGCGCAAGTTTAGTAGAATTCGCGGAAAGTTTCAACCGAATGGAATTAGATACTTCGAGAGCTGGTATACCTACAGGGCCACCTACAATCTAGTTGTTAAATTCAAAGAAACTTTATTAGATATTCACATTAAAATAAGATTGAAAGTAATTAATTATAATGGAATTACTTTGGCTCCGCAAATTTCCACTTTGCAACCAATTTGTAATTTAGATTTAATGATCGCTCGTTGAAGAGGTAAATCAATATCAGCTCGAATTTTATACCACATATCAGTTAATTCGAGAATATATGTAATTTTGCAAATATTTCCTTTAACATTATTTTCTCCTAAAAATATAAATTCCCAACCGACATAATTAAATTAAGAAATATTAGTTCCAAATTTAATAGCGTTGGATGTATATTACCTGGAGTTACATGGGAAGTATCTTCCTTTATTATATCAGACACGCAAAGAATCATTGGCATACTTGCAGCCGCATCCCCCTCAATAATCATTTTAAGTGCAGATCGATGTGCGTTATTAATTTCTCTCTCATATCTTATAATAATGAATATTGAATATTAAATGTCGCAATAATATTATTTTTGATGCTAAAAAATTAACCTACCTATATTGTAATTGATCAAGTACTTTTTTAGGATTCCACCAGTTGCGAAATTCGTGAGGGAAAGATCGAACCATACTCGCAATTTTCCAAACGATCCATTGATAATGATTACAAACCCAATTTTCGTTGATGAGGTCAGAATTTGCACCGGATTCAATCAGGCATGATAAAGCTTCATCAGGACCCCAAACAGATAAACGTCTCGTGTTTTCTTGTGATTTTCCTTCAGGCCACGTGAATCGATAAGTAATGGCGTTTTTTGAAGTTATGTTAATGACTTCTTCGGATCTTGATTTAAAAATAAATATATATTTCATATAATTGGATTTTGTTACTAATCGAGTAACATATACATGTATATGGTACTCACATTCCGAGTTCTTGTATATATGATATAGAAAAATCTAGAGGATAATTAGAAACAAAATCCTTGAGCCTAAATCTTTTTTTTAAAGGAGCTATAAGAATCGGCATTTGAAAGTTAATCATTTATTAATATCTGAATATAGAAATTAGTCAGAATTTAATAATTTACATTTCAGATCAAATAATTTTTTAATAGAGTTATATTCAGATATTTTAGACTGAGAATTGTGAGATTCCCGAGAAACGTTTGGATGTAATCTTCTTCGCTTATTAGGGTGTAAAGGATGTACAATATTTTTTGAAGATATTTTTGCTTTCTTATTTTTTAATCCAAGTCGTGAATGTATCAAAGGAGTTTCTTTTAATCTAGACTTCGAATTGGAAGACTTATTTTTGTCTAAAATTATAGTAGTCATTCTTTTATCAACGGCATTAAATGTAAGTTCGGAATCACAAAGATCTTGAGATTTAATAATATTCGTCGCAAATTAGATAATAATGTCAGGCTTCATTGAATCAAATTAAACAATAAGGTTATAAAATTTCTACTTTACCGATTATATTACTCTGTAATTTTTCTTGTAAAATGGAACCTTGTCTTAAATCACCATCTAATATTTTCCGCGCTCTTTTCAATGATACATCAGATATTTTTTCGATACTATGTCCATTTGCGGTAGAAAAACGAGAATCCTTCAATACATTATTATCTCTGCGAATCGATTTCGAAAATGTAATGTCATCAAATGATTTTCGTGCCTTATTTAATGAAGTTTCAGATATAGAAGGAAGGTTGCGGCCGTTTCCAGTAGAAAATCCAAAGCTCTTTAATTCATTATCATTACATTTAAGCATCGCATTTGTATTATCATCCAAAGATTTTCTTGCTTTTATCAAGGAATCTTCTGAAACTGCAATAATACTGCGACTACCTGCGGTGGAAAATCCAGAATTCTTCGTTACATTATTATTGCAAGAAGACATTGCAAATCTATTATCACCAAATTTTCGTTTTAAAAAATCGTCCGAGTCTACGGAGGAAATTTCAGAATGTTCATGAAACAAATTATCATTTGATGATTTGGTATCCGGTTTATCATAATTTCTTTTATTTGAATCAAGTGAACTTTCTGATGTCTCAAAGGTCGATAGCATTTAAATAAATAAAAAGTGAAAATATAAAATAAATAAAAACGCGTCTTTTTTTATCCAATGATGATAATCAAAATTTGTGGATGATATGTCGATCATGTGACATATAAAAGGGTGATTTTAAATGATGAATTTTGTGAGTAGGGATGTGTAAGTCCAGTCCGGTCCGTCCGCGGTCCTGAAAACCGGTCCTTAAAACTGTGGACGGACCAGACCGG